CCACCCAGCCATAGATATAGATAGTTATATATGATTCACACACACACAGATATAGTATCATATATTTGAAAGGGACCCCTAAAGAAGGACCATAATATGTTCCATGTTCCAGAGTAGGCAAACCAGACACTCTCCACATCAACACTGACAAAGAAACAGCAAGAAATATTGTTTACCCACAAGCATAAAGAAATTACATATAGTAGAAACCAACACTTTCTCATTGCTTTATTTTCCAGATCACCAGACTGGGCCACAGCAACGCGTGGCAGGGGACGGCTAGTGTGAAATAATTATGAAAGGTGTTATCCAAAATATCTGGGGAGGGGAGGTGCCACTATATATATAGGCTCAAGCACGATTTCAAAGGCATACTACCATGTCATAATATCTGGCTGTAAGGATTTAAGGATAATGGGTGTATTTTCTTCTTGCAGACATTGTTTTGCTTTGTTTGGAGTCACTTGTCTTTATTTGTTATGGGTTACACGCAGGCCCAAATACATGGCAAGTATTAACTTTCTCTTGCATTTGATTTCTTTGTGATTTAATCATCTTTCCATTTTCTTTCTTGGCCCCTGCAACTTTGATATCATTTGACTGCTTCGATGTCATGGTCTATTAAGATACCATTGGTTTAGCTATTCTAATATCACCAAGAGTGTGGAGGAGGATGCAGGAGGCAGCTATGTACCCCGGATGGAAATTAAAACTCCATTTCTAATTACTCTGATCAATTTTAGTTATTTGCATTGCATCATTATGTTGTTGGTGTAATATATCTGGGATATTTGGAGTGTTGTAAAATTGAAATTAACAGATAATTGGGATGCTCCTGTTACATGTTTTGAAATATGATATTCAGTCACACAAGAAAAGGCTTGCATTTTAACTGATTAAGGGTGGATATACAAACAACTGTTTTTATTCCACTTGAAAGTTAAATGTTAAGATAATATTTGTGGTGAAGTTCATGTGGAACTAAGGGAATAGCACTGCAGTTGCATGGCAACTGGGGGAAAACACCTGTTAACTAGCAAATAACACAATTTACACAGATAATGCATTGTTTGCTGAAAGTATAGCGGCAACTGTGACAATCACCCAAAACTGTTTGGGAAATGGACACACTTAAATAATCCAACATTCATTGTACAGGGGCAATGCAAACATTTACAGAAGTGAATGTGATTGTCGTTGAACTTGAGATAGTTTCTCTACCACAGAGGAGGAGAATTTGGGAAGTTGCTTTTTGGAGAAATGGCTTCTAAAAGCCATGAGAATGATTTAATATTATTGCATTTGACGATAAACAGTTGGATATATAGAGAGCTAGCTAGAAGATTCTGGGATTTGTAATCTAAAATGTGACTTTCCCAAGCTCTCAACTTTCCAAGATCTCAATCATGTAAAGATCCAGTGAGTTGTATGTGCTTAGCTTGTAAACAAAATCCTCAAACTAAGCAAATCCCAGAGTTGGAGATAAACAACTATGTTTTCTAAGCTTTTTTTCCTACTAAGAGTTTTAATCACATAGCAATTCAATGACTTGTGTGAGCTCAGGCTACAACTAAGTTGCAAAAGCTGGCCAAATCTCCTCCCTTGGGAATACGAGTCATCTTGGCCATTGCTTTTCTCCAGCTAGGTTGCACTAATTGTTTCCTAGGCCTATCATAGATAGCTATTCATTTATTTATTGCCATATGCCATGATTGTACCTAATGAGCTTGTCTAAGCACACACACAGGAGCTTTAAATAAATAAATAAGCAGCTTGTTAACAGTGTCAAGCTAAATGGGCTCCAGAATTTAAAGTGCTCTGTCGCATTGTGATTATCTCTTTCCTTTTCTCCACAATGAATGAAGAGACAAGCCTGGAAAGTCTAGGGAAATAGAGCAGAGTAGGCAACAGGCTGTCAAGGGACTCCCAAGAATGGCCATGTTCTCAATGTCTTGAATTAGAAGTCTTAAAGAAAGACATCCCATTGCTATTTTCAAAATAATTTATTTGATAATAGTTTGTCTGGTTGCCTGAGTTCTTTAGCCTATCTTTGTGGATTTTATCTCTAAAGAAGTATGTGTCATAACACAGTCCAAGCAAAAAAAATCTTGATGTCTTGGTTTTTAAGTTTGCTCCTGGGTTTATTTGGGGTGCTGATTCAGAACATTGCATTGGATAGACTACATCAGCTCTAGTTTCTTAGATATGCTATGGGTGAGCAGGTGGCAATTGGTAGATGGCATGTGTTCTGTATCTCATACATAGCTAACATTTGAGGTACCAAAATGTGTGATGACCAGTGTAATGACTGGGTTGGGAGAATTCATACTTCTTTTTCCCAAAGTCTGAAGCAAGTGATCATGCATGAGTGTGCTTACTTGGTTCATTCAGTGGTGTCCTCTAATGCATGTGTTTGTTTGTTTGTTTCTTGTGATCTTGCTAAAGATCTCATGGCAATTTACCAGAAAACCAATCTGACCAAATTAAATAAGGTACACAATAAAATGACATTTTACAAGTTGGACACATTCAGAAATGGATTAAAACTTTAAAAGCAAAACTTAAAAAGCAAAATCAAGTAACTTAAAATGATTCAAAACCATGCACAAGCGTGGATGTGTATAAAGCCAATTATACCGCAAAGGTGAACAACTTTGCTGTTGAGAATGCCTCTAGAACATGGCATATAGCAGGGGTCCTCAAACTAAGGCCCAGGGGCCAAATACGGCCCTCCAAGGTCATTTTCCCGGCCCTCGCTCAGGATCAATCTAAGTCTGAAATGACTTGAAAGCACACAACAACAATCCTATCTCATCAGTCAAAAGCAGGCCCACACTTCCCATTGAAATACTAATAAGCTTATATTTATTGAAATTGTTCTGCATTTTAATTATTGTATTGTTTTAAAGCGTATTTTGCATTACAAATAAGATATGTGTATTATGCATAGGAATTCATTCATGTTTTTTTTTCAAATTATAATCTGGCCCTCCAACAGTTTGAGGGACTGTGACCTGGCCCTCGGTTTAAAAAGTTTGTGGACCCCTGCCATATAGTCCAAAAAACCTACAACAACCCAACCTTGCTGTTGCTTGGGATCTGGAATAAAAGCAACAGTGGTGCCAATTAGACCTATTAAAGGAAGAAACACTACAGAGAAGTGTATTTGGAAAATCCAGACAAAAATATCAAAATCAAGGATTGGACTCTCTTGATATTTGTTGTGGCTCACAGCTCCATATTACTACAAAGCAACCTAAGCCCTGCCACATGCACAATGGAGGACCTTCTTATAGCGACACCAGAGGCACTCTTTCTGGTAAAAAAAAATCTAATATAATGCTAAGATTTTAAACTTTATTTGTGTTCTTTTTAAAATATATTATAACTGTACCCTCATGTCACTTCTGACATGATAAAAAACAGCTCCATAACAGGCTCATTGCAAATCCCTGTAGCTCTTTGGCCTTGGAGTTTCTTCTTTTGTTGTTTTGGCCAGTCACCAATCCCCTCTAGGGAAGTGAACAGTGAGGAAGACCAATGAGAAGAAACAGCAACCTTGCTCTCTCCCTCTGGGCTGAGCAGATTGAGTTTAAAGGGGGAAGCAAGGATGAGATGGGACTGCTCTAGGAAAGGAGCCACCAAGACACTTTGCCACACTCTGGAACTGATAATTGAAAGAAATGCAGGAATAGCAGAGGACTGGGAGAGAAAGAGGGGCTCGAAATAACGCTGCCCTCCTCAGCAGTATCCCCATGTTTATCATAATGTCTTCTTGTACATTTCGTGAAATTCTGTTGAAAGAGCATGCCAGCTTTTAAAACAAATCAGAGACATAATGAATAAAACATTCGACAAATGTTCATTCTCAGTGCACCTGAAAACAATAAATGCAATAAATGATTGATAATCGCCATACCTCCATTACAGAAACCACTGTTAATACATGCATGCTTAAAATTCTCCAAAAATGTGCTAAAAGGTTATTCTAAAGTGCGGAGAAATTTGCCTCTCAGGATGGAAGATCCTTCCCAACCCCCTTATGTTCTCTTCGCTGCTCTGTTAATGAGGGAAACCTTTATGCGCTCAGAAGCCTTTAGATCATACTTTTGAATTCCACTGAGAAGTTGATCCAAAAAGAATACCTTATGATGATGTCTTTCATGTGAGCCCATCATCTCAAGGACATCCGAAAGTACAATGATCCTATGAAGTTATATCCATAGGGAGGAAAATATATATTCAGCTGGAGATTAACTCTGTTTCTGCTGCAGTCATTTCAAAGTGGCAAACAATAGTTTTTAAAACAGGATATATATCATTAAAATGCTCCTTTAAATTAACCATGGGGGGTGTTGCTTTCTAGTTATCTTGTTAGCTAATAAAGGCTTGTTGAGTCTCATTGTGGCACAAAGGCACATGCATGTTTCTACATGCGAAGCACTAGGCATAATATGCACAACAAGCACCACATATAGCCTTCATAATGAACCAAACATAGTGAACCTTTGGTGTCCCCTGGATTCAGTTCTAGGACTCCCCATGGATACCAAACCCTGTGGATGCTCATGTCCAATTATATACAATAATGTACTGAAATGGTGTCGGTTATATTAAAAAGCAAAATCAAGCCTTGCTTTGTGGAGTTTCTTTTGGATATTTTCAAGCCATGGATGCATAATCCATGGATATGGAGTTGACACAAAGGGATTAGAAGGAAAATATAGAAACAGAAGATCTGTGGAGCCCAGTAGTCACGGATTTCAGTTGTCTGTGAGCACTGAATTACATGTGTAGGTTTTTAATATAATGCTTTATTGATTTATAAAAGTATGAGACACTTCTCAGCACCATTGTGACCTAGAATTAACCATTTAAAAAACAGCATGCAGCAGAATTAGGAGCTGGGGAAAAATCTTTAATACGTTTGAAAGTGCTGATACATTTGAAATACAAAAATGCCATACGAAATAAAAAAAGATTAATTAGAATTCACTTACCAAATCTTTGAATGCCGGCCTCTAGTGTTCTCAATGTGCCAAAGTATGACCTTCTTATAAGGCTGAATGAGTTCAGAGACAAACTCATTGAATTTCAGTATGTGATCTTGTTACACAGAGAATTATAATTGTTCTAATGGAGCTGAGTATAAAGCTGCTGCAAATACCCTTGTGAAGGAATGGCTACAATTTGAATGTTACTGGCCATTCAGTCAGAATGATAGACGCTACCCCAGCTATTCTCTTTTTGCCTGACTGGATTGGCTGGCCTCTATTAAACACTGTTTATTGTTGCTTGTTTTCATGTTTTCCACCAAAAGGCCACCTACAGCTCCAATGCAAAATTATGCACGTTCATTAACCTCATTAAATCCAAAAAGATTAATCAGCTCAGCTTTGCCTCAACTAAAGAGCTTTTAGCCTACATCTAAGGCCCAAAGTTATGTGGTTTGGAAAGTGATTTTCTAAGGCCTTAACTTCAAAGGATTTTGTTTGAAATCTACAATGTAAGGGAGACAGCCCAACGCTAATCCAATGGAGTGCCGGAGTCTGTTTAATTTTTGTCTTGATGGGTCTTTCATAAGCTGCTCAACTTGAGCAGCTTCATATAAACATTGCAGTGGTTCAAAATTGCCCCCAAGCATTGCATCCTCATACACCATCCCACTCAATCTCCCTCCACATATGGAAGTTATCCCTTTCAATGATGGCTTTATACTGCTGTCATGGAGAGTGAGAGTGGGAGAACTGGAATGTCTAAATATTTTTTCAGAGGGTCATTTATCCTTTGCACCATACAAGATTAGAGTATCACTTAAAGAAGCAGCTGGGTCCACACTGCAACATGAAATCTTTTACATGAAAGCTTTCATTTTAATAGCTTCAGCCCACCTTAATCTAGCCACCTTAAGAAAGCTACTCCATTCTGACACATACACTTGTCATACCCAAAGTTGCTTCAGGCTTTTAGCTAGCTTGGTCTTTTTATTCTAAGTAATGCTGACTGCAGCAAAGTTAAGAGGCAAAAAATGGAGAGAGAAGGAAATGTGAATAATTTTATATTTCTTCCAAGTTTGCTTTGGAAAAACCCTGACTGAACTGTATTTGAACATAATCATCTACTAACCAATATCTGATCTGCAATCAGTTGAACCCATGTAGTAAGGAAAGATTATTGCCAATTATATAATGGGTAGTGGGAATTCCATAGTGCCTATTAGCAATTAGGTATGTGTTGATTCCAGAAGTGATTCCCAGAACACTTAGAACCATACAATCACAGTATCATAACCGTTAGAAAGGATCAATATCTAGTGCACCTCAGGAAAAGATAACTAAACCACTCTGGAGAGATAGTCTTAATGTAAAAATACATACATACTACATTTCTTAAATGGTAATGAAAGAGCTATGCACTTAACACCAGTAAATCTGGGATTACATACATGTAATATGACTGCATGGCTGGGCTTTCTGCAATTGTTAGTTGCTACTATTCTTCGAGTCCCATTTTCTTGGGCACTGGAATAGTTCCAAACTGTGTGGCATTGTTTTGTTTTCCATATTCATGGATAGATTTGACCCAAAGAATAACTAAATTATACCAAAGACTTCATTACATTGAGGTCCCTAATGTGGGTGACAGTGAGGGAATATGCCGGGCAATATGGCGAATCCATGGGGCAGTCTGGGAAACTGTCATCCCACATCCCACGTCGCCTTCCCCATCACATTGGGGAAAGTGTCACCATGTAGTTTCCCCCCCCCCCCCCCACATTCGTCCCATTGTTCTCATGGCTCCATCCTAAGATGCTGCCAGGATGGAGCCCCACCATATGTAGCCCTGAGTCACGTGAAGAGCCAAAGCAGACTCCATCCTGTAAGCGTCCTAGGATCGAGCCAGAAGTCCATGTCATGAAGTTGTAAGATAACATGATATAATGGAGTCAGGTTGAGACCAAGTCATAAAGTTTTCACTACCCATGATCAGCAATAGTAGAGAGTTCCTGCCTTGGTACTTGAACTGCTCACCTTTCTTTCTGAACTGATGTCAAATGAAAGTAGAGTTGTTTTCTGAAGCAGTCCTGAAAAACAGTAAGTGTATGCCATGTGCCATTTACACAATATTGCAGAGATATTTGATACCATTAATTCTAAATATGTAAATGCAAATTGAAGCATACTGAGGCAGAACAACAGCAACTATTTTTTCCTCGTACATATATGCTGAATCTGAATGGATGGTGAATATCTAGGAACAAGATCTGGACACAGAATACAGTCGTTCACCGTATCCACAGGGAATACATTCCAAGATCCTCTCAATTTCCATGAAACCAAGGGCAATAGCTAACTCTATATTTTGACTATAACTGGGCTGAAAACATATCATAACATTGTACTGAAGGACCTGGGGGAGAGATTTTTTGGGACACGGGTAAGGATAACCAGATATATTGAACCTGTGTCTAAGAGTGTTATACTGTTTCTCTGAAAAAATACAAAAGTGACATTAAGGATTGAAACCTCTCATCATTTTCTTCCCAGTGAATAATATGAGATGCCAGCTTTCCCTTTAAATGTCATAGATATTAAATATCAGAAGCCACTGGTATTACAGTAGCTATGGATTTCTTTTCTTGTCTTATTTATACTGATAGCACTATCAAAAATGCCCCTTTTCTAGAATTGAACTTGCTCTGGTTTTCTCCCTCGTTCAGTAGCTCCCATCTGCTTTATTATGATTTGATTTTCAGGTGGCCAGCAAAGACATGACTACAACACATAAAAAGTGTGTATTTGCTGTGTAATGACTGATCAGACATATTACTAATTCAGAGAAAATAAGTCAGGGGAGTATATGCTGTTACTGTGAGCTAGTGCACGTGACATCTGTGACTATAAGGAGCGATCTCATATGAAGGAAGGAAAGAAGGAGATATTAAATTGTATTATTTTTTAATTACTGTGCTTCATTTTACATCACAATCACAGAGATAACAGTGGGATACAAATAAATTAATATAGAAGGCAAAGCAGGAGAGGAGGAGGGGGTGGGAAAAGAAAGCCACTTCCTAAAATTTACCATACATGTCTGATCCAACTACAGTGTGTAATCTTCCTCTTTACCTGCCTCCTCAAGCTCCTGTCTCAGGCAGCGCTAGTGAAGCTTGGCCACTTAAATGCTTGTCTAGCTCCTTATCTTATTTTTAAAGGAGGAAAAGCTCAACCAATCTTGCTGCAGAGAGAGAGAGAAATTAGGCGCATGATTTCAGGAGCTTCTACTTAATCAGGGCTGCTTACATAGATATTGCCTCTGCAAGAAAGTAGTATGCTTATCCCTGCCTCCCCAAGACTAATTCTGCCAAGAAGCTTGCATGTACATCTATAACAGTGTTTCTGCAATGGCAAGATTATTCTAACGAAGTACATCTCTACACACAGTCCCTTTCTCATGCCATGTACATTGCTAATTATTGTAACAAACAAAGATTTTCATCCACTCAATGCAATACATTCTACTCAGGGATCACCTTTCTGTTTGATATCACATTGTTTGCTGGGTGTGTTTCTTGGCAACAAACAGCTAAGACAACATTTCAATAGAAATCACGCAATACCGCAAAACGGCCTTGCAATATATTTTGCAGAAGCACTATCTTTGACACAGATAGTAACTGAAGGAGCACAAATTACTCCATAATTTTCACCACAAAGCTTCTAAAAATCATACAAGGTAGAATCAGTATCATAAAAGTATCCAGAGAGGATCTTATATTCTGGCTTATAAAGGTCAGAAGATGAGTGCTGATTAATGGCAGCTATTGAGTTTATGAATGAAGTTCCCTGTGGAGTGCTCAGCAAAGCTGAGATCTCAGGGCAGTCAGCTATGATATATATGCAGTAGCCTTATCATACTGTAGCGGCTTGGCATTTCAGCTGCACTGGTGTGGGTGGGTGGGTGGGTGGGGGGGAGCATATTCTGCTGGTAGAAAAGGTGTGATAGCAGCAACATTATATGCTATGCAACAAACAAGTGTCTGTTCTTCATACAATGAAAACAATGAAGATGGGGTGTCCAAAACTGCTTGGCTGCCATTTCTACAGAATGTTTAAATATACCCATAAAAAGCCTGCCCTCAGAGTGTAACTAAGGAAGTGTAAAATTGGGGTCTTGCCTCCCCAAATAAGAATTCTGTCCCCATGAAATTTTCCTTCATCTGAAGCACATCAGTACATCTCAGAAAACTGGATCTCATATCCTGGTTTGCACCTGGCAGTTGTCCAGTCATGGATACTGTGATTCCTGGGTCTGCTTCTGATCTGCAATCAACAGATACTGAGTCTGCAGTCTAAGCTTCCAAATAGTTCATGGGATATTTGTGTAGGTGCTGCACAGTGAAACTGGTTTCTCTAACTACCTCATCACACGAGCAAAATTGCCCATCCTACAACAGTTCAACCTCACTTCAGGCACAGAGCCCACCAAATCCTATCACATGACATAGGTCTACTTCCAGCAGGGCTCTGTGCCTGAAATGAGGTTGAATTGTCATAAGGGGCAGCACCATGAATGTGGGAAGCTTCCTGTGTACCATTGAGAAGAATGGGAGGAAGTCAGGTAGCAATGCTTCCACCTATGGGGTGAGGCAGGAGTGATGCAGGGTGGTGGGCCCCCCATTTCACACACACTGGATTCGCCATGACCCATGGTGAATCCCCTGCTTACTGACCTCAAAGCGATGAGGTTCTTAAGCCACTTTGAAACTGGATTATAGTGTCTGTGTAGAATCATCCATAGACGAATGACCTCACCACATGAAGCATTTACCCCATCATAGGACACTTAATCTCCATTTCAAGGATGAAAAGGCATGGAGCACATCAGATGACGTTTGCCTACTTCTGGCCATCATCCATTGCCCTTCATTCTGAAATGGAGTTGAAAGATGCTGATCATGTTCTGAGCCCCTGGTGCACACCAGTACCATTGCTAATGTCAAAAAACACAAATGATGGGATCTGACAGATTGACCTCTGTTTAATCATTTCAGTGGTGTGGAAGAATGGGTGTTCCTCACCACTTTGCTGTCACTGTATTTTTCCTTAATAGTAATCTAGACTCGAAATTGTACTTTTCCTAGCTTTTTAACATGACACTGGTCTAACAGAGGGAAGAAAAGTCTAGCAGGAGGGGATCATGGCAAAGCGGTTTACAATTACACTAATCTAATGAAGGGGAGCACAAGCTTGTGATCATGGCAAACAAGTTCCAATTACAGTGGTTCCTCCCATCCTGC